GAGAGAGAGACAAAGAGAGAAAGAGAGAGAGAGCGAGAAAGAGAGAGAGAGAGAGAGAGAGAGAAAGAGCGACAGCGAGAGGGAGGGAGGGAGGGAGGGAGGGAGGGAGGGGGGGAGGGAGGGAGAGGGGGAGGGAGGGAGAACACAAGAGAGCTAGTGAGGCTGATTTCCCCCTAACAGTTTCTCCAAACGTGGCATGTGACTGTCGGCCAGTGACGCCATCTGACAATTCTTTTCAACCGTCCAGCCCCAAGGAAGACCTGTGAGTGAGGAGAGCCCACCCCTTGCAACCCATGAATGAACAGGGCTCATTTCATTTGGTATAAATTTGTGTCATAAGGAAGCATGAACTCAAGTAACAAAAGGACCCCAACCTCGAGCAGCCCTATAATCTCGCGATACATCGGCACCACCCGGAACTAACCCTCATGATCATCAGGTTACCCTAAAAGACAAAGCGCTCAACCCCAAAACTAGTGAAATCTCTAACTCCCTGGAACTCTCTAAGACTCCTCTACACCCCTACCCCCCCAAACCTAAACCAGAACCTTGAATACCTTGACCGCGAAAGCCTCTTGACCCGGCTCCTACTTCGAGTCTCGAGGAATCCTAAACCGCCAAGCACCAATTGGAGCAAAACCTTACATCGTAACCCCTGACGTCCCAATAATGAGGGACACCCTGAACTCCAAACCAGAAGCCTAAATACCCAGACCCTCTACCCAGTTAAAGGAAACCTAGGCCTTTCGAAATAATCCAGCTTCTCAGCCACAAGCTCTACCTGGGTAAGGGTGAAATCACCATGTAAGGTCCATTGCAGTTTTTGGACGAATGCTTAGGGTTTTGAATTCAGGGATTGGGGTTTACACGAGAGGGGCTTAGGGCCTCCCACAGCAGGAAGGGATAATCAAGTTGAACATGAAGATGAAGCTGGCATCATATACTGCAGGGTGTATTAAAACAACCTCCCCATATATCTAAAACCTCTCCACCTCCTACTCATCCTACTAATGATTGTTCTCACTTGAGGGCTGGTATTCCGGAAAGGTGGGGAAGGGGAAATAGGTGCGGGTGGCTCGGTGTTTAGGATTTGGGCGTGGCGTGCCGAGTTTTTGATTTGGGTTTAGGTCTTAACACTCAAAGGCCAAAGTGGTAATCCGAATCAAGACAGAGCTTGCAGTTGTACATATTTGCTGTACTACTTACTAAAGGCTTCCAGATGGAACATATTGTCAATTCTTCAGGCTTCTAGACTAACTACCCATCATGTTGCCAAGCTCCAAGTCGGACTCAGACCCTCTTTCCAGAGGGTCCAAGTACTCCATGATTGGGCACTTGGGGCTTCCGTGCTAGTAAATGTAGTTAGCCTTTGGAGGAGTGTGAGATGTTTCGGTACTGGGACCCTCCAAGCTCATGGCTTCTTGTAGAGTTCCCCGCTCGAATACTGACCCTGAAGCCTGAAGCCTGAGGCAACAAATCCTTGTCCAGCTGCCATTCAAAACCCCTGCTTGCACGACACCTAAACCCCAGACTCGGACAATTCAATTCAAGAGAGGTCACAATAACAAAGCACAATGCTTTGAAGCTGTAATACGCCGTCAAGACAAACCCAGGACCACTTGAGCTTCAATCATCCACTATTACTATTCAACAATCCCCTTCCCCTTATACCAGAAAGCCCCGACAGCCCAAGGGCGTCTCGGCAGACTTCCTGAACCCTCTGCTGCATGTCATCAAGGCTCTTGTGCCTTGGGTGATGGGCTTCCATATGACTATCACCACGTACTAAGAATAGAGTGTTATGAACAGTCTTACGACTATGCAGTACTACCACGGCGTTTGAACGGTCAAGACCAACTGCGATTCCAAAGGATCTGAATAGAGCTGACATCCAGAGGAATTCTATGTGCAAGCAGACTATTCAGGTCGGTGTATGCATTGCCACCTTAAAGTTCGAGACTGTGAACCGACGAAGCCTTGACCCTACTACCCCAGCACTTATTGGGAAATTCCAAGTATTGTGAGGCTGCTACATGTAGATATTCGAGCTCCCAAAAAAGCAAAGCATCAGGCTCTGAGAAACATAAGCCGAGGGTCAGGTCGCGTTTGAGCTCCTGGCTCAATACGCTTTACAGAACGTTGGTCTTCAAAGACACCCCCCAACTGGAGGTCCACAGTTCTCTAGATGGACTTAGATGGAACTGCAAAAGAGATCTATGAGGGCAGTACTGTCCTGTTGACAGGCGCGTGTGCTGGCTTACGGTAAGAGACATAGGAACACAGCCAATTTCCAGAGGTCCAAGTACACGTGTAGGGTATGCTTGGGCCTCGATGAGGTTCTTTGGCGGTCGACAAGGTTCTATCTAGGTACCTTGAGGTCGGAGTATATACTTTTCATGTGCCCGTCTTTAGGGCTGCTCTGTATGCTTGGCAGTTGCTTGTAAACAGGAAGCTCCACTCGCAATAACGCTAGAGTGGGGCAGGCCAATCCCGTATCACCCGCTGCAGCTCCGAGTCCGAATCATAATCCAAGAGAACTCTAGCAATACGTTAGACGGTCCAGGCAAACCCTAACCCCTCAATTGCCGCATGGACCTAAAATGTGGCAGCCTGAAGGTGCCAAGCAACCTCAGGTCACGCAAACATCTAGCTTATTTTTGAAGATCCACAATGCCCGAAGCAGCCATCATCAACAGACTTTGAATTAAGGACAATGTAGGCAATATTTCTAGACTTATACAGACCCATTGCTTGATAATCTTGGACTAGGACCAGGAATTGAAGGGGAAATGTGACATCTCAACAAGCATGAGTCCAATTCCGGTAATTTGCAAAGAAGGACAACTGCGAAATGATAGGGCCGATGGTAAATCAGGTAGCTGACCAGAAACTTGACTTTTTGCCAACTTTTATGTAACAGAGGCACTACTTGACAGATCAATTGCAGCTTTTCCAAAGGGTGGTAAATCCTAAAACCCTAGAATTTGAACTTGACAACCGACATTCTGCATACCCCGAAAAACCCCTGAACCGCGCATGCGGGTTCCGTATCTTCCGGCGCCTCGTCTGTGAGGTGTCCAATCTCCAACCGCTCCTCTGGCATTCAAGGAATGGGCGTTGGGCTGCAACCGAAGAACGATATGGGATGCGTAGAGGGGTAAAGAGAATTCTTCACTCGCGCATGGAGACCACGGCACCTGTATTGAGTCCCGTGTATATTCAACCAGAATTCGTGAGTTGGGGACCACCGGATACAGAGTTGAGCACGGTTCTCAGCTAGCAGCGAAGCAGGCTTGCAACTGCAATTGCATTTGATGTTGCGCTTTGGAATGCCAGCGTAGAGAAACCCAACTGTGGAAAAAGTCAAATCAACATAAAGGGATTACATGGAAACCGGAATGTTCAACATAAGCAGGTCCCACATGACATTTCAAGTTGGTTTCCGCGGATGAGTTCCCTGCGCCGCACCTATTCGAATAGGAGCATACAGTAGAGAACAGAAGCAAACAAATAGATAGGGATATCCCACTCAAAGCCCCTCATGACCAGCCCCCCGAAGGTAGATGTATCCCGCCCAGAAGCTGATGCTTTGGCTTAGCTGCAAAAAGGCATGCATGATCTGACTCACCTGTGGCTCTTCAAACCAGGACCTCCTTCTGTTGAATGTCTTGTCAATAGCCAATCCATGCCGCTCCAAACAAGCAAAGGAGCATTGCTGTGGCTTTTTCAAAACCCAAACAAGCCCTGAGGCGTTTCAGCAATTTGTACACAAATTGTAAAACCACAAGCTTCCCTACCAACCGTGTAAACCCACCTGGCGTTGCAGGGCATGCGCCAAGGTCCGCAGGGCCTGTCCGGATGCAACGCTTGCCAGAGCCAAACGCGAACTCGGAGAGTCGGAGCCCTGAACCTAGGGCCTAGGGAAACAGCTCAGGCTCAGCTAGGGCTAGTTTGACGGATATGTTCCACATTTACCTGCTGGGAAAACGACGTAGGAGGCAGGTAGGGATTCACGACCCCTACGCTATGATTTTCTGTCGAGCACAGCTCACAGATCGAGCCTGCTGTTGCGGAATGTGAGGGATCGTGTTCCTGGGCACAGTCACTGTTGAAGTCACTACTCTGCACTGCATGAACTTCTGGACGCTGACAGACCGCCGGGCTTCTGAGGGCATGATTGAATCGGAGCCTAAATGGGGCTGGGGGGTCCAGTAATTAATCAGCATATATACCATGAACATGCGAGGACCGTCAAGAAATAGAACTTGGTAACTAGTCAAACCTTTGCACTTCACCGCGGCGTATAGACTCTAAGCCACAGTCGAGGCTTGGATGGCTGGCCTCAATTGTTTTACAAGAGCGTGCTGCAAAGGTCCTTGTATTGTCTACGGGTTGTGTCAAGGTTTATGGTTCGGGGGTAACATGTCAGAGTGCTTCTTATACTACACGCTGCAGATTATGAGAGAATCGCCAAGAGAATTCTAGCTTCTAAAGTACGGGATTTCTTGAAGTACTCCATGCTACACCTGGCAAGCTTCATGAGGGAGTCCGGCGTGATCAACGTGCGGTTCACCATCATCGCCTTCACCTAGGAGTCTGCTCTACCTAGAGCATCCGGCCCCCATATCTAAGGGAAACCAAATCTATGCATACATACACATAAATTTTCCTGGTCACCCAGAAGATCTAATTATACCTAGCCCCTTGTAGCGTTTAAGCGGGAGGGGGTCAGCATATGTGCATGTATATATATCTAGATATACGCATACGTACGAGATGTACGGGTGTATACCCTAAGTTCTACCGAACTGCTCACATAAAATGCTGTGAGGTCTGTTCCTTACCTTGGGTGCTGAAAGCCAGTGATCGTCCCGTCTAGGCGAGGCTTGCACAATCAAAAGGGCCCGCCCTGCGAGAAGTCCAATCGATGGGGTGGAACGAGGTCTAGGGTTCATGCTGTCCGCAGGGAAGCAAAAGCTTGAACTGAGCGTGCTTTGGCAGAAGGAGCCCCAATCCAAGCTGTTTTCTTAACATCGGCGCTGCGCCATCTCCTGCTGCACTCAAACAACCATGCACTCATACCTTTCGCATGGCAGCAATAGTCTCTTTCTCGGTCTCTCTATGTTTCTCTCGCTTGCTCGCTCACGAACTCGAGTAGCACGGCTAGACTAGAGTAATCAGTCCAGCAGAGCGACTCAAGTCCGTGAGCGAGCGGGTGAAAAGGTTTCTGATCTCTTTTGAATCAATGCTGGAGCTCCAATCTGGTGTATGGACCCTTCCTGGGAGCAGCCCCCTACCGAAGGCATGATGGCTGCCTCAATTTACTTACAAAATGCCAAATTCTGTACACAATTTTTGGGATATGTCCTGTGTATCCTACGGCGAGGTCTGGCGAGGTCAGCATAACTTGCCCTGAAGTATATACGGTTTAGGTATGTAGACCCTTGGGGCCCAGTAGCGCTATAGCTAAGTGATGACCCCCCAATTTCAATTAGCAAGATGGCATGCCGTAGGACGGATGAAATGGATTGTTCTCAAAGTTATGGGTTGTTTGGTGGCACGAATTATAGTCTGGTATCTGGCATCTCTGGGAACCCCAATTTGGAAACGACCTCGCTGACCTTTGAGATGTGAGCATAGCAAGCAAAACAAACCCCAAACTCTCAACCGTACATTCGCCCCAATTTAGGTCCGCCAAGTCGCGTCATAGTTGAACTCCACCAGGAAGGCATCCCATATCTCCTTGTGGCTGCCCTAAATGACGGCGTAAATTCTATGCTTGCTCAGGCATCACAGCTCGGTTTCTGAGCGCTAGATAACTGTGATTACTTGCTTCTGATAAGCCCAAGCAACCTGGAGCAATGCCGAAACGATGAAGTACCTTACGGGGGACCTACATTCGAGATACCAAGACACCAAATCTTGCATACGTAGATTGTAGCTCGCAGGTTTCGTTCATGGCCGTATTTTGCTCGTCCAGCAGCTGCTGGTTCTCTGAACTAGTTTAGGGCTTATAACTTGCCGGTTGTCAGTAGGGAGTAAAGGAATGACAACAAGACAATGGGAAGCGCCATTTTTGAGTATTATATAGGGCTAGCAATGGGGATCCACTTCCTGAACTCCGCATTGCAGGTACGCTTTCAATGCTGCCGAAATATTACCCTGACCCTAATGTGCTAAGCCCGAAACAGTTTACCTACTGTACATGGGAGCCTTCATAAATCCGGGTCTACAACATACTTACGGAGACACGCACCCAAACCTCCGCTCCTGCAGGTTCACCCGTAAGCCATGCCGCCGCTCTTGACGACGCCGCACGACTTCCTAGGTGCTGCTGCACGCTCATGAAAGGCCGATGGCATAAATCTGCCCAAGTTGTGGCAATTTGTTGCTAGGAAAACCGTGTGAATAATAGCTCATGGTTACTCAATTCAGTTTGCTTAAGCGCGACCCAGCTTCCCACAGCTGCTGTAGAAGGGTTTTCAGCTCTGAGGCCTTCTCCTGTTCAAGGCGTGGGGTCCCTTTTCCCTGGCGGGGTTGTATATTGTAGGGTTACAAGTGGGAGACAAATGCACTGCTATGCAGGCACGACCCGTTTGCGGATGTCTGCTTAAGCGGCACCGTGGAATGGGCTTTGACTGCTAGGCCGTACAGGCGCTACTAAGTTAGGGGTGTAATCAGGACACTCTTTTTTAACAAATGCTGACTTGGTTGATAGTATGTGCTCCGAGCCAGTTGATTCAGCACTCATGCCTTCTCGTAGGCGTAGGAATCGAGGACAATGGCTAGCAGCATGTTCAGAGACACCAGAGACACAACCTGGAGTTTCGATCCGTAATTTGCCACCGAACCCGAGAATATTCGGTTCATGGACATGATGCTAAAAATCCTTCATCTCCCTAAGAATGCTATGCAGCTGTAGTTCCCTGGGTCTGCTTCTCTCTATCTCTCTCACTCTCTTTCTCTCTCTCTCTCTCTCTCTCTCTCTCAGCATTTGATTTGAATTCGCCAACTGCCTGCTCAAGCAGCAATGCAAAAGATCCAAAGCCAAACTGCAGCGTTCACGTACCCGACTTCCTGCCAGGGCGCGCTTAGGGATTGTGTTTACAGCCCTTGCTGCAATGCAAAATGCAGGCGAGGTCCCCCAATAAACAAACTTCTTTGGCCCCCATTAACTACACTGCTCAAGCTTGCACAATGTCTCAAGAAGAATACTCGCAAAACAACTCCAAATGGTGGTTGAAGCTTCCTAGGGTTTAAGGGTGAAGCGTCCGCCGCGAGATGTCAGGAGTGCTAATCATCCGCATTGCTTTCCTCTCACATAAGGTGCTTGTAGTTTGCAGCGGTTTCCTGATCGCAAGTCATGCGGCTCACAGCTTCTTACGCCAGGAAGCAGATGGCACGAGCATGCGCTCCACTACTTCCGCCCTCTGAGCACTGAATTCAACCGCTAGATGGGAAATAGTCTGCTTGGAAGTTTAGAAGAGTAGTGGCCAAAAAGGAAGCCGACTGAATCTATTGTTCCTCCGCGTCTGTCCTACCTGGTCTGTGTGAGAATCAGAACAGTGATCCCGGGTTGGAGGACTTAACAGCAAATGCAGCTACTAAGTGCACCTGAATCCTAGGCTCTCTAACGCATAATTAAGCCTTATTGTCATACCTACCAATGCTATTCCCTGACAATCCTAAGGTCTCGTTGTGCATGCCGTTGTAAATCCCTCCGGAGCTTAGTGCAGTACAGCTTTGCTGTGCTCTCCACGGAAAATGCACTCCAAAGGCCTATGCAATTATTGTCACGTATTCAGGCCCTACAGTACTTGTTCTGGACCTAGAAAGAAGGTAATGTTTCCATGGTTGAGCTAAGTATGATCTAAATCTCGTTGCGAGATGGCCTAGCTGTAATCTTACTCTATATTGAGGGCTCGGACCAGAATATCCCAATTAAGAAACAACTCAAGTGGCACAGTCTAAACCCGGCTTGGAAGTTCAAATGACCTAAATGTGCCTGTACAACCCGTACAATCACCCATGAGCCCACCTATGCCGCCCCATATGATTACATAATTTCACTTGGCCTATATTTACCATCAACATCCAAGTGCTGTCAGGCCTTCCATGAATGCCAGTCCCAGTGACCCAACCTCTGTGCAAGGACTGCAAAGGTTTAGTGGTTCCTCATTGGGATTTTTTGTTGGGGAACGCAACCAAGGGTTTACCTCGCGAGCAAAACCCCAAACCTTCCACTAACACATAAAACGCAGTGCAAACGGGATGTTGAACAAGTTCATGTTGAATTCCTTAAATTTACAGTATAGCTGGACAGCATGCTTTTGAATGTGTCATGTAGCAAGACCCTATCTTTATCGGCGGGGGATGTCCAAGTACTGTTGTTGTTTTCTCTTCTGTGCCCGCAGTGTGCACCTCAACTATTTACATTCCGTGTGCTCTACATGATGGTTTTGTCTTTCCATGACCTTGAAGACTCTTGGATCCCTGCTGCTCCAGCTGTCAAGCTCCCATGCGAGAAACACCTCGTTCGTGATAGTTTCCAACCGCACCATTTCTTACCAGCACTCGATGTCAAGGATTTCCCATGTCGCACACTTGCTTTGGACAGATTCCCATCTGCACCATTGCAGCCTTTCTAAGTTTGATTGCCATGCTTGGCCTCCGAACGTTCCTAAACCCCAAACCTTCAACCCTAAACATTGAATCTTTTAAAGTAGATTCGGACCCTAAACTTGGACGCTGAACCTTAAACACTGAAGCCTAAATCCCAGCCCTCCGACGCTAAACCCTTCCAAATCCCGCCAGGAGGCACCGCTGCCAAACACCAGTGAAAGGCTCGAGGGATAGTGCCTCGTTTGTCCCAAGGACTTGCAAAGCTCGTTACAAATGGAGTTCTTGCTTTGGGATAACAGTCAAACGCACACGCATGTACACATATATCTGTTTAAGTTTCGGTACAATGGCAACTGACATTAACTCCGACAATGCCTATTCTTCAGGAACATTCCGCAGTTCATCTTAGGAGCCTGAAGTAGAACGCAAATTGTATGCGCTAGTTACCTGATCTTGAAAGGTCTGAGCCAGTCATATTTGTACACACTGCTTGGAAGTTCCCGGGTACCATCACGAATGGGGGTACAAGAACGACAACCAAACACAACCGTAGCTGGGGTATTGTAACCCTTACTTATAACTACCCATGAACCTTCAAGCAATGATCATCACAAATACTGTTGTTGAGGGAGATCGTGCCTAGAACGTCGCATAGCAACCCTTCTTATTCTGCAACTCGAGACCCTACCGACCATGCGTCAAGGCTCTGAAAGATTCCAGGTCCTGGCCGAAGAAGACAATGCTGTTCACCTGGGTATCTCCGACCAGGGAGGAACCCAATAATTAGATATACCTCTACTAGAACCCTTGTTATGGGGACTTCCTTGAGAAGGACCCCCAGCCAGTGAGTGCTGTTCGCGTAGACTGAAACGATGAGCGTACCTGCGAACCTGCTAAGCATACCTACATGAACTGAGAGGAGAGGATAATGTAATGACTGTTTTGCGAGAAGCTCGCAACTGTATCAGTAATTTTCAGGGTCCGCATCCGCCGCATTGGAAATCAACAAGCCTTGGACTTGAACGCTGAGGCTGCAGAGCCCAGAGTCTTAAACGGGGAGCGGCAGGAGTAATTAGCAACGGTTTCCCTCAGGCCCCCTTCCTACACAGACAGTCTTCCGTGCACTTCTGCACGACATGCGAGCTTCAAGGCATGATCTGATCGACTTCTGGCATTCCAACCCTGCTGGTGCTTGATGACAAAATGTTACCCACCGCCCTAAGTCCTAAAGGAGCTTGAAGGCTTTCGCGGCACGACTTTGGGTTTGCTGAGAGGTCCCCGTACGGTATCGGGTTTGGGCCAGAGTGGGCTTCTACATAGCTATCTCCTGGAGCCCAAGTAGATGTTGTATACTGCTCGCTTTCTTGCATCCATAACTTAGGGGATGAGCTTCCGGAGGGTTGCACGTTGCGCAAGATGGAAAATGGAAGCACTCGCAAGTTAGGGAGTCAGTGGTTAATCAGGTGTCTCATCTGAAGAGCAAAATCATAGCAGCTAATGCTTTGTGCACTGTAAGAGGTGCCCCAATGAAACTGACCATGTTTACGTGGCTTCCTACTGACACCACATATCAAAGATTTGTGAAATACAGGAAGGTTGCGCATTGAGAGTCGTCAATAATTTTGCCCATTATTTGCAATGTTCGTGGAGGGGGCTAAAAGACTAGGTCGCAGTTGTGATTGTTGCACACAAGGAAGTCACGGCCACATCCCGCATCAAGATAGAGATCCTTCTGGGGCCCAGGCAAACAAGCATCCAAAGATGCAAAGGACGACAATGAAGAAATGGGCCAAATCTGGGATGGCCGTTTTGATGGTCTCCTCAGGTGAGTTTGATGACAGTCGCATCTTGTGCAGCCTGTAGCTGAACCGCTCCTAAACAAATATGGAACTCTAACCTAGGGCCTGGGGTCTCTGGAAAGTTTAATTTTTGATCCGTCAGGTAAGATGCTGCATGGTTGGAACGGCTCAGGCAACTTACCATGACCAACGACCGTCTGACAAATCCCTTCGCGGCATTGGAGTGCTGCAGGTTTGGGATCCAAGAAGCATTTGATAATTATTAGTCTTGCTGCCGAGCCTGCCTCAGATACCCTGGGCTCCAAGTAGGAGAAAACAAATTGTGTACTCTAGGCCCAAATTCAAAACTCTGCAGGCTACTGTAGACAGCCCTCAGAACCAAGTCTTTCAACGTGCGCCCTAACAAGTCTAAGCGTTTAGGCACGGGCCAGCTGACATGTTTCTGTCAGGTTGCCATCCCAAGTCTGCAGGCCGGAAATGCAAGCCTCTCGTGCGGAACCTTCATAAAAAATGAAAAAACAGCTGGCTTGATTCGAACAAGTGTCTGTTACGATCGCAAGGCGTGGCTGAGCTTGAAATGACTTGAATAATCGCAGCATGATGACCTCGCAATTGAGGGTAAGGGGTGCTACTTCGCAATGATGCGGCGCTTTCACTCGAGAAGCAAGCAACTTACAGGAACAGCCTTTGACAGAAATCGCTGCAATCATGAGAGCCTGAAACTTCTCCTCATGCCCTAAAGACAAATCCTAGCATCCTCAGGAAATCACCAATTCTTCGAGACGTCCCAAGTTGAGTTTAGGATGTGCTGAGTCTTCAGCTTGTGGCAAATGGCTAGATGCCAATCTATCTGGCTAAGACTTCTTTATGCGGCAGAAGCTAAACTAGCTACATGCGACCTAGCCATCACAACCGTACTCGGAGGCAGGATCAGAAGATTATGAATAACCATCTTGATCGACAAATCCTCATACTCAACCTGACGCAGGCATATTCAGCAAGCACAATCACAAGAGTGTCTGGAGGCTGTGTGCCCACTTGTGCAGAGACTGGCGGCCCTCTGCATGTAGCAGAAGAGTCTCATTCAGCTGTACATTCGAATGCCAGGAAGGGGTCTCTTGCAGCCAGTCCCTCTAAGCATACGCAAAGGACGGTTTAAAATACGAGTTCACGAGCTTATCACCCGCAATGACCATCCAAGTCAAGTTGGTCCGGTATGGCGAGACATGTGTGAAGGCCTCCGTGCGATCTGCTTGAGATTCCAGCCCTGCCCTCACCGGATAGTAGACCACTCTCCCGCATGACTAGAACTGAACTGATTAAGACCCTGTTGTAACACTTTGCTCGTAGCATTTCCTCAACTTCAGACTAACCTCATGCGTTCACCCTGGGTAAAACCTTCAACCCTCCATTCCAAATCCTAAATCCTGAGCCCTGGATCCTAGACCTGGAGAAGCTCTCAACCCTAACCCTCAAACCTTGTACTTATGCCAAACTTCGAAATGCAAAGCGATACAATTTGCAGGCTTGCGGGCCAAGGGGTAGAGGATGATGGTCACCTCGGATGTACGCAATGCGGAGAGCTTAAAGTTCAGGCCTTCGGGTGGAAACTGACCCAAGAATTGCAGTCTACAACGGGGAAAGCCCAACGTACTTAAACAGGATCGCAGTTCCTGTTTTCGCCCGGCATATGCTGCATTCCCGTTCTGTCCCTCATGTTTCCTGTTTGCTTCAAGTCTCAGGCAAGGTTTGATGAGCCCCTCCAGCCTGCTCGACCGCGCATCTTCAAGACTGCCACTGTAATAGAAACTACATCAAGCAAGCGTATAAGGTCTGCTGGAGGAAGGGCAACTTACTTGTCAGGAACTCCTTTCAGACTCTGTGCTGCCTGTAGAGAATACCACACCAATTTGCTGGGATTGTTCACTTTCCTAAGACTTCTCGGACCCAAGAACTCAACAACCCCGGCCATGAAACCCCAAACCCTGAACCCGAGAACACCCCAAACCCACTGAACAAGAGAAACAAGAGCTGGCAATCAAAGGCCCAGCCTTCCAGGCTCCTAACCTTACTGATTCTTAGTAGGGAATGAAGGAGTAAATCCTATAGAACCCCTACATAATGTAATATAGTGTAATATATTCCCTTCCTCCCTACTAAGAACCAGTAAGCACATGCAAGTCGCTCCATCAAACGCCCAATATTTACCCTCAAAGTCATGCGCTTGCGGTACCAGGTTTAGCACGCCACCCGGTACCTGGGGTACCTGGGATACCTGGGGTACCTGCCGAGCGGGACCCTAACTTGTGGAAACAACCCACATAAAGAGCTAACACTTCTCCCAACTCATCCCTACCCTTGATCAACTGATAACTACGCGCACAGCAAGCGCATTGGAGCCGTTGGGTAAACGTTGTCTGGCTTTCAAGCTGAACCCGCAGCGCCTGCAGTTTCGATATTAGCCAGGTTGCTGTGCACGCCGAATTGGCCAAGCTCATCTGCTCTGCAGCGGCGAACCAAGCATCTGCCGTGGGCTGGTACCTTGCTCTTTTCGTCACGCCATTAGGTACAAGAAGCTTGACATGGCTGCTGAAGCGGCGCAAGGAAGTCGGGCCGCTAGAAGAAAAGACTGGCAAGGTCGACCCACCCAGGTCCAAGCTTCCGTGTTCAAGAGATCAGAAGCTGGATTTGGACGGCAGTGGGTGTGAGCAAACGAATGCAGCCCATCCACAATGCCAATTGCGGCTTGATTGAAATTGGCAAGCTGGCTTTCTCTTCTTGCGCGCTCCCTTCCTAGCAGTTCTCTTAACAGTACTCCTATGCTGGACCAGCAAGGTTTGAACTCAACACAACTTTCAACGACGTTGGGGCACACCCATAACGTGTTCTTTGCCGCTCATTGCATCCCAAATACTGGAGGCGCCGCTCTTGCACGGTGGTGCCTGTGGGGTATAGTGTGCCTCTAACGGCTGCCGGCAATAGTCCATTCACCTGTGCTACATGACGGGTCTCACAACGGGAAGCCCTATGGGTCAAGGGATATTGTAGGAGGTGGAGTGTGTTTGAGAAATTGTCACATGCGGCAAGAGTACGTAAGAGGCCGTGCAGACCTTCAAGAAAGAAGTCTCCTGTCAAATGCAAGACTGCAGAAAGGTATAGTCTGTGTTGCAAATTGCAAGCTCGCACATGCTGATCCTCTACAGATGCTCCCTGGTTTAATGGCATGCTCACCTAAACACAGCCGCTACTTGTGTTTCAGTTCCGCGCGTGAAGGACACGGCATGCGTCGGGCAGATTCTTGCACGGGGCTTCGACGTACGCTGTTTCCGCAAGAGTTCATAGCTGAGAGGATTTCAGGAGTTGCCTGCTTGCAGTCGGGCGGCGCGGATGGTGGATCGTCCAATTCAACTACTCAAGGCTTCACGTACATTGGAAAAGCTTAACATCCTAGATCCTGCCCCAAAACACTAGAATCTAAAGAACCAAGACGGGTCGCAGAGTTCCAAGACGGAGTAGTTTAAAGCCTCCAGCCCTAACAAGCTGTACATCCTAAACGCCAAGCCGTTGCGCTTGAGAGGGCAGCCCCCCAAGCATGCAAAGCCCAGTGGCCGTCTCAACCTTTGTTCGAAGGTTCAGCCAGAAGAACACGGCCATCACTGCCACGCACATAGAGACCCAATCCTGGACCGCAACGCGTCTTAGGGTACGGGTACTTTGGAAAATTCAGGTTCCATTGTTGTGCTTCCATGACATGCTGTAAGTGGTACCTGGTATCTCCTCTGACAGTGAATTCAAGAATTATAGCGGCATAGCTTGTAAGTGTTGACGACATAGCATCTTCAGCTCCACTTAACCCAAAGCAAGTGCCAAACTCCAGGTTACCTCCAGGCCTTAACTTTTGTTGGTTTGAATACAAGATGCTTTCTCCATGCAGCTGAGCTTCCACGGCATTCCAAAAGGTGAAATAATCACGAAGCAGCCTGGAACAATCTTGGGATACCATGACACATGCTTGAGTATATATATATATATACATCAGGTATACAAAAACCCGTAAAGAGTTCAAAAGCAACCGAGTAGCCCCTGCCAAATTCCCAGCTTGGAAGAGCGGACCTCTGCTCCCACACAAACCCCAACAGATACGGAGCCTCAAAAGAAGGGTTCCATCTTCGTTCGGGGGGAGGTAGGAGCTGCGGTAGGAGCTGCATGGGAGTCGGAAGCTGTGGTGTGAAGAGCTTAGCAAAAGAAGAGTCGCAATCAGTACAAACACATTCAATGCTTGTTAATGCCTTGCTATACTGGATGCAGCAAAGCACTTTTATGTAAGCTGCCCTGACGTGATTGGGAAGTAACCCCACCTGAGCTCGCCCGGATGCATCTCATGATAGCAGTTCATGGAAAAGCGGGATTGGCGACATCCACCGGTAAACACCACAAGCATAGGCATGCTCGGTGGACAACCAAGCAGCTCTCAACGAAGGCCTCATCAACCCTTCTTCCAGCCTCAGCCCTTGAGAGGAACTGGGCTTGCTCAGTGACGGCCAACTACTTGAAGAGGGCTACCCTGGCCAAAGGGTCCGGGTCCAGGAACCTACGTAGGATTTACGCCTGAAGGGTTGCGTACACAGGCACCTTTAAGCCCTACTGCACATTTTACAGGTACCTGGAACCTTTTTGGCTTTTTGGCAATGTATTTCGGAGCTCAGGGCCCCTCGAAGCTGAAAGCCAAGGTGCAGTGCGAATTGCATCCCGGACTTCGTCGACTAGCAGCTTCAATTGAAGAACGGACCATATCACGATGGCAGTTATAGTGGGAACCATCGTTGTCAGAGACGTCTGCATGGGGTTCTGAAAGCACGAGATCATTTCCATAAACTGGTAAACATGGCCGCCGCGATTGAACAAGAAGTTGATGCAGACGTGGGTGTACAGTCCATACCTCAGCCGCGCATAGTGGGCTCAGGACTAGTCAGCTCTATCACGAAATGCAAGCACAATCCATAACAGCAGCTACGAAGTACCTAGATTTTGTAAGCCCCTTTGAGAAGCGTAATAGCGTTTGAGCGCCTAGAAGGGACACTCACATTTTTTGGCAGTCACACTGGACCCCAACACACATCATGCAGGTGAGAGACCTCGCATTGTACACCACATAGCTGGCTTCCACCCGGGCTGTCTGTTGGTCCAGCCAAGGCTGTCGCGGTTGCTGCTTGCACCTGGGGCTTCTGGGCTTGGGGGGCAATGTTGCGGGGCGTGCAGGGGTTGAGGGCGCGCGGCTTAGGATTGTGGGTTCATGGGTCATGGGCTTTCAAGTTCAGCATTGAGGCCAGGCTGTGGCTTGACGACCCGTGTAAGAACAGGAGCAGAGGACCTGATCTATAATCCCTTCCCTTTACTTAAATCAAACTCGCAATGATAAACAGTAAATCAATGGGCCGAAAAATCCTGAAGAGCTCTTTTAGAAGGCGGAGACCAAGTTTAAAAGGGGCTATCAAATGATCAACTAGGCGGGAGTTCTAAGGTCATCAGGGAGGTGAATGGGAAATCCCCTTGATTTCCTAGGTTTCAATTTATGTAGCTAGTCTACAGGAATTTATGTACAATGAAGGTGCATATGTCACATTTAATGCGAGATGATTCCATCCGATTTTCATTGGCGAAGTAACTGGTAATTGATTCTAATACGATGTTGAATCGATTTGCTGAGATCCTACATATGTTCTCATTAGATTTCCACTGATTGCACACGGATTTTGACTTGACTTTTTTTTTACTTTTCAACCGATTTGCATGTGGATCTTAATTAGATTTCAACTTAGACACAGCCCCACCTAATTCTTGCAATGCATAATGCCCCACCTAGTATCAAATCAGCTTTAACAAAGGAGTTTGAGGTACAATGCCTAATGCTATCATGAATCCGATGCTCAGCAGGGGATCCGGTCCCACAACTGCACGGCTCTTGAGCTGGCAAAACACACTATGCTGCACCTGCCCTAACTAGAACCCTGGCATAATTACAATCTCAGCAGCCTGCTCTAATGACATCATGCATTTCTTACGGCTAAACATCCTCAGGTTATTAGCGGACTTTAGGTGTCTTTATTGCGGAGCTTGCGCTCGATTGGCTTCCAACTGGCCAAACTCACATGGAATCCCAACAGACCACTGTCCCTTCAAAAGGAGGATCTGTGGGGCTCTATGTACAATACTTCTGAGGCAGGCCACTGGTTACCAGGCTACACAGATCTAGTAGAAGGATGCCTGTACCAGGATACCCCTAGGTCACTTCAAGGGTTTTATAGTGATGTGTTGCGTTTATGGGGTTGGGGCATGCAGTACAGGGTGTAGGATAACTAAAATTCCGCAACCTAATATGGAATCCAGCTTAACTACATGGAACCCTACAGATGCCTTTTTCAAATTTACAAAGGTTTCTACAAGGCCTCTGGTGGGTTTCCATGTTAGTTCGGGGCAGGATGCAGACTGCCGTCGCCCTCTGCCGCATTTCAAGCGAATCAAATCTAATGCGCACAACTGCCGTAGTCAGCACGTCGGAGGGCCCTGTCCGACCCACAGCTGCTTGTAGGCAGGGATGGCTTACTTGGGAAATCAAGCCCAAAGCACAGGAAAAGCTTCGCTCATAGGTTTAGTTCAGGGCCAGCTGGACCAGAACCCCAAGCGCCCAAACTCCAAAACCTCAAGCGCGAAAGCTGTGAACCCTAGCCCTAGCCCGGAAACCTTAGACTCCAAACCGAAAAGCCTGCTGCCAGCAAATGCAGCGCAGGGTAGGTCTAAAGATCTTCCACCAGAGTTTAAGGAAAACATCGCTCGTATACAGGGTTTCTACATGTCATAGAAGATGCGTGACATGAGGTGTCGAAAACAACTTTGCGTACGCAGGGTAACTTTGAGGTTCAAGTCAAACTTCCGGTTCTTTGCATCATGTACATATTTGACTCATTTCTCTATCCGTTACGCAGGGTTCGCTAGGCTGCAGGCAATCAGCGACACTCAGCCACTAAGAAGGTTGTAGTCCCCTGAACCTCCATCATGAACGGAGTCCTTACAATACCAAGGCAGGCTCCTACAATGCGCCAACAAAATCCAGGGTAGTGACGGCAGCATGCGGCAGCTGGACTATAGAATATCGCCTGGGTTCGTAAACCCACCTGAATCCCAACCGCTATCTCTGCACATGGGCACCAGTCGCAGAGGCAGCTTGCAAGGTCGCCCTGTGAATGTGCCTGAGCTCTGTTGAGGCACACGTTCGGTCTAGGGCTTGCGAGGGCAATTTAAGAGATCATTTGATTCCTCGTACGACCCTATTCAATTGCTTCAAAGATGCGTAGTTACAGCCGTCTTCCATGTCCAAGAGGGTCCTCCGGGCAGCAAACTTGCGGTTTCTGTGTTCAAGGGATTGAGCCAGGAAGCTGATATTGGCTTGCGGCTTGAACTGAAGTCCCAAGGCTTTGGACTGATGGGGCTTGAACTGTTGGAGACAAACGTCTCCACAGCCATTGGTCAAACTCGCAAAAGCCAACCACGACCGAGTGAGACAGGCATGCACACACGGCTGCGGCTAACAGGGTCTATAACCATATACGCACAATGACTTGGAGTCTTGTGGGACTTCTTCGAGACTGCTCTTACCTGCATCCCCTGACCAGCCTTACGCGCTTCCCCCGGATATGAGCCTTGGGGTAGAAGCCCAGTTACAAATATCCAGGCAACGCCATGAGCCTCCAAGTAGGACTCAAGCAACAGTTTGGGTCCCCGGATCCTCTGCATGTCCTGCTGCGTATCCACCCCCGGCAGTACATACCTCGGCTTTCTCGCTGCAGGTCTCTTCTCCCTTGCCACAAGACCCCTCCTCTCACATGTGGGTGGCAGTTGTGAATGAAGGTGGAACTCAAAGTACAAGGATTTCGTGCGCTTCTGGAACCACATAGGGGTAAGCACTCTTCATCGGTAGCTTTGAGAAACTCCGAGATAGGGCGTGTAGGGGGCCGGTTAACTGCTGCAAAGATACATGTTCAGGATCGCAGATTTTGCTGAGACTACTTTAGCAATCCAATCGTCCATTCCCTCTCTCTGTTTTTGCCCTTTGGACCCCATCCCCGAACGAACATGAATAAGCAAATCTCAACAGAGACCAGGTTCTGCGTCCGCGAGAAACCCGCAAAATCTTGAGCAGAAGGCTTGTCAGGACTCAGGTCTCCGATGGCGTGAGGCGTGCCTGTGTGTACGTGAAGAGACTCGGGCTTACTAAAGCGGCTAAGGAACGAATCAAAAAGGCACCACGAAAAGGTCTGCGTTGCATTTTTGTCATGTCATTCGTTGCTGCCATTCTCTTGTTTATGCTTGTTGTTGACTTGCTGACTTCATTCCCGAATTCATGATTACGTATGGCGGTCTTAGGCTTGGCAGCTTTGAATTGCGTTTTTGCATCGTTGGCGCGCGAGGCGTCCATAACACATCCTGCCAGAGACAGCTAGTCCGTATGCATCACGATACCATGTTTGAACAATTGGACGCAAGTTCCCGGATGTTGCTTGCTCACAATTCTACAACGGCTTGGCCTGGCGGCGCTGTTTTTGCAACTTGTGGGTTTGTACACAATCTATAAGTGGACCTTTTCGGAGTGACAGTGTTTAGGATCGTGATGCCAATGTAAACTGCTTCCCTCTTTCGCTCTTGTCGAATCATGTTGCCTGGCTGAAATAATTTAGACAACCGCTGGAGATAAGTACACCCAAATATGGGGAGTATGGGGCGTGAAAACATACGAAACGCCAAGCATGCTGCTTGGTTTTGCCAAACCCTGGAGCTAGCTAATGTCCCATATCCCGCGTACATCTTCAGCAGCCCTAGAGCCAGCTCCAGTCAGCAGTTTCAAAACCTGATAATTCGAGCACAAATGCCAGATATCTCAACACAAATCACAATCCCCTGCCTGGACCTGGAGGTCTTTTTGAGATTCTTCCTACAGGTTTTAGCGTTTAACAAACAAGGCCATCCACGGCCCTAGCCTAGGCAACATGAAGTCGAGCTATGATACGAAGAAGCCTGCAGGAATTCCTTGCGGGTCCAAGGCGTAAGATAAAGCCAACAAACAGGAACCCGTGCAATCCCAAGACATAGTGGCTGTCGGGATATCTTTTTGGCCTGTACAAGAGCAATATTTCTGAAGAGTGCCAGTTCCCCAAGATGTCACATGAGTGGCTGTCTACATCTTTCGACCCTACACTGCGAACCCATTCAAGACATGGATGCTTGTGACGCTAAACCTTGACCCCCACACTGAAAAATCCCAAGCCCAAATACTTCTGCCCAGCTACAAGGCTTCCCGAGCCAAACTCTGAAGGAAGCTGGATCCTCAACTGGGATTTGTGGTCGACATGTGTGGAACTCGGAGAAGTCTGGGGATGTGAACTCCCTCCGGCTAACTGTGAAACCGTAAGGGCCCCTGAACATTCCACAGGCTTGTTTCTTTGAGTGTCACCCTATGTCTATGTGAATTTGAGACTAGGAAAGAGCTCCGGGTTCAGGGCCCGAGCTGGCCTTAGGTATCAGCTACCCGAAGCGCAGCAAAGATCTGAGCACTCCAGGCTCCAAATACAATATGGGTTCTGTACCCAACAACCTGAACACCAGACCTGAGACCCTAAACCCGTACATGTTAGCTAGCTGCAAAACGTAAAGACTGCATCAACACCTTGCCCGAAAGACGCATGTATTCAATACAGTGTCCCGAATGTTTGAACAGGCCTTTGCTTGAGGAAAACTTAGATCAGATTTGGGACTGCACGTAGCTTGATGTAGTGCAGTGTGTAACCCTTATACTTCGAGAGGCTGGAACTTCTGGCAAC